GTGCACCATAACCCCCTAGAATGGGATTCAGGCTTCTTCACCATTTCTATCCCATCTGCTTCTAATGCAGGAATATAGGTAAGAACAAAAGTGGGCAGCCCACCACGAGGGACAAAGGCCACAGAACTGGCCTGGGAGGAAGGGGAGACCAAGGAAAATTCTTCCCAGTTCTCAGTTTTCCCACCTTTCTTTCTGCTGTTTAATGCATGTCTGCTTCTTGATTCCTTTCTGTGATTCAGTTATTAATGATTATGTGGTCAACACTGTGCTAGACATTTTAATCCTCCTATTTTTCAAAATTAGCCCTGTCCCTCCACCCATTTCTCTCTTCTGCATGACGCCGTTTCTCGTGTACCATCTCTAAGAGTCTCTCCGTGCTTCACTTTCGAGGAACGGACCGGCTCCTTTCTTTTCAGGAAGTAACGCAAGCCGGACCGTGGGGGTGCAGACAGAGGCCCAGCGGTCTTGAGCAGCGCCTGGCGGGCCAACGTGCTGAAGGGGGTAGGATGGGTAGGCAATGGAGTAGAAGCAGCTGCAGAGCTTTGATTTTTTTATTTTTCTTTCCTATGCCAGATTTTTTTAAGTAACTCTTTTGTTATCAAAAATAACGATGTCAGCATCAATAGCCTGCTGATTATAAAATTTACCCTCGGCGGGGAGAGAAAGAACAAGCAGTGAATACTTGCCATCTGCCAGGCACCGCAGAAGGCTGGCGGCTCTCAGTGCTTCCGTGGTCGAGGGCTCCTCTGGGATTCTTGTGGAAGCTGTAAAATCTCTCTCAGAAAAACGCAAATGGACACAAAATTTTACCTGGAATCACAGGGGCCGGCGACATCCTGAAGTACAACCACAGACCCCAAATTAAAACCTTTTGTGCTAAGCCGTCCCATCTGAGAGTGTGGCATTACTGCGACTAGACACCATTGTCCCCACCTTGCGGACAAGAAGACATGCCAAGTGGCAGAAACAACATTTCCACCAGAGTTGTCTGAACACTGCAACTTGCCGCCCTACATGAAAATATCACTTGGTTTTTACCATTACTGTAAATATCACTCTTTATATTTCAATGAGGAAATAAGAATTATAGAAGAAACTGAAATCTATGCAAAGCATTCTAAACCCAGCCATGGAAAATCAGGAAGCTCTGAATTTGGGAGGTTCCAATCTCACAGCCTTTCAGCCAAAAGACTCACGCCCCCCGCACCCACCCACCCAGCAGGAAAACAAGCTGAAGCTTTTCTTAGAGGTTTCATGCTCCTCAGAACAAGAAGCAGCCTCTCTGTCAAAAATACCTCAGTTATACTGGGGGGAATTTTTTTTTTAAGGCAATCTCTCTTTAAAATAATCCCTCAGTCAAAATGTGAATTAAGAAACCAGTCCAAGCCTATGGGTATGTAACAAAGAGAATTTAATTTCAGAATATTGCATGAATATAAAAGAAAGACAATGCATATGATTATTTCTTTACAGTTACATATATATAGGATATATAGTCAAACAAGAATGAAAAAAATGGGGACAGTTAAAAAAACCTTGTTTCTCTTGTTATGAGTGCTCAGGGATACGCGCAAAAGCAGCCTTTGCTATGAAAAAAGGACGCTGGGGCGGGAGAGTTTTTCCCAACAGGTTCCGCTGGTCCCAAATATGTCTGGGGGAGTGCTCAATGGCTCTTTAGCATCGGCTGTGGCCTCGCACACTCCAGTTTCCATGGTAACCAAGCACTCAGGCTATTATGTACTCCACCTCCTCGCTAGCCCCTCCATCAACTCTCAGCATTAGTTGTCTAGGAAAGCCAGGTTTTTATAGCAGTTTTAGATTGGGTTAATTACCATCAGTCTGAAAAGCCTGTGCATCTTAGCAACCCAAATCTTCCCCTGAATCTAGGGCAATCCTGCCAGATGCTGGCATCCAGGTTTGGGACTGGGTACTGTCCTCAGCACAGAGACTTCGGGGTGGAGGAGGGCAGGGAGGAGGCTTTCCCCTGGGGAAAGGTGTTCTACTTAGAAAAGACTCCAGAGCTGGAGCCATCAGCTTCAAGGATCTGTGTGAGGCCCTGTACGAAGTAAGGGCACAAGTAAGCTCTAGGGAAGTCTGATCCCAGAGACGGCTTCCCCAGGTAGGCACGGCCGCACAGATGGTCGCTGTGGGGCACAGCCCCAGGACCGCAGGCTCTCCTAGAAGGCTGTATTTGAAACCATGTTCTAACAGAGGCTCCTGTGAGGGGAGCTGAACAGAAACACAGCTACTCAGGAGGAGAGAATGGCTCTGGTCTGGCCCTCCGGGATCAGCGGGCTTCCCTACAGGCCAACAAATCCACCACCTCGGAACACCCAGTGGTCGGTCGGTCGCTGCAGCCAGCAGCCCTGCGCTACTCCATTTCCCAAGGGCACTCCCTTGCCACGGCTGACGGACTCTGGGAGGGCATTCAAGGTAAAGAGCTTGTGGTGGATCAACTGTGGTTTCACTTAGGATTAAGAACCAGCTCCTTTAATACGTTGGCTGTTCAGACATAATCAGTATCTCCTAATCCTTTCAATGCTGCAGTGGAGTTTTTCAAACCAGATTCACTGGCCCCAGTGCAAAAGTCCATCTTTGTAAAAGGTGAGAAACTGGTTTCCATTGATTGAACCAGTGCAGCTCCCCCGGCGCAGATGGGGGTCGATGAGGCAGTCTGCGTTTTCGCACTTGCGCCCTCGTACTGACACCACAGCCAAGCCCTTCTCAGCTGCCCCCAGGAAGAAGTGCAATTTACAAGCCAGAAGAAGAGGTGTTTCCAAAGAGATTGTTCCAACTTGAAAAGTAAATACAACATTTTTAAAAATCTGATAGATTTAAGAAACTGTTAAATACTGGTTCAAAAATACCCGCCCATCAAGTCAGAAGGGAGACAGTACCCTTCTGTGGCAAATGAAGAGGGTTTTTGTTTTTGAGTTCCCCATAAGGTTCCACAGGATTAGAACAGTTACATATTACAAGGCAGAAGGTTACGCTATTTATTTCTCAAATTCCAACTGGATCACAGCTTCTATTTAAAAAATGACCTATCATACCCTTAAAGCAAGGGAAAGCATATTTAATAAATAACTTAAATGAAACACACATACCCAAATACGGACACAAACTGCCCCAGGGGCGAGCTACAGAAAAGCATGCGCGCACGCCAGGCGTCTCTCTCAGCACTGCGGCCCCGGAACACTGTCGATTCCACACAACCAGAGAGCGTCTCCTAACTCTCAGGTGCCTCCCGCAAACAGAACCACAGAATAGCCTCGCTGACAAGGAGGAATCGGGTCGCGGCTCTGCTCCCTCCACCCGAGGCCAGCCCCTGTTTGACAGCCCACACTGCTCCAGGTGACACAGACGAAGCAGGGGTGGAGGAGAACGCTCCTTCGGCCTGGTCATACCAAGAGGGGTTTCTGTCTGGATTCACTGATAGCTGGTGCAAGGAATTTTATTTTTTCTCAGTAAGGAAAAAAGGAAAAAAGCCAAATAGAAACCTGCACAAATGAATTTGTAATAAGGACTTTTAAGAATGCCATAAAACTGCTCTAGAGAAAAGGGGCTTCTAAGCAGGTTTATATTCCTAACCATCAATTGTTCATAATCTATCAAATTGGAAGGCCAAATGTTTTTTCCTTCTTCACAACTGCTGTTACAGCTGCAAAAAAAAAAAAAAAAAAAACCAAACTCCAGTACATATGGAAAAGAGGGTTGACACTGGACATAAAACCCAACTCTCCTCCCAGGGTCCCCTTCCCTTTCAGCAACAACGCAGCATTTTCAATAGTTTAAAAACAGGTCAGCCAACCATACTTTGCTGGACAACTGCTTCCCCATGGAAGGCCTGGCAGCTCCAGCACACGGGGTGGGGACAGCTCCACAGCTCCACTGAGCAGGCACAAAAGGAACATTCTCTCTTGGCACCTGCTGCTCGCCGGGCAGTATTTACACGAGGCCAAAGCCGTGCCCTTGCTCACCTCAAACACTGGTGAACAGCTAACCCAGTCAAAGCTCCAGCTGCGGCCCATCCCCACGCCCTCCCCGTGCCCATTATGACAAGGAGAGGGGCTATGCTGCTCCTTCCTAGAACTTGGGTGATAAGCCCCGCTGCCTCCAAAGGAGAATGTCCTCTCCTTTAAACCCTCTCAGCGCTGCAGAGGCTGCCGCTCACTTTCTCCCCGATTCCGGCGGCTGGCTCCCAGGAGACAGTCTAGCCCACACACCTGATCCCTTAGGAGGGCACAATATAATCCCGCCCCGAGGGAGTCATCCTGGACATCACACAGCCAGCCCCATCCTAGTCACACTCTGAGCTTCCACTACATGCAGATATTTCAGCAAACCTCTGCTCAGCAGCCAGAGACTCTCCTTGAGGCACAGTGATCTGGCACAGAGGTACTGGCCCCACGTGGGCACCAGAGACGTTCTAGGTTCAAGAGGAAACTGAACAAAGGAAACAAGCCCAGGAATCACACAATTATTTGGCATCACTGAGGAAAGAGGATCGGGGAAGGGAGAGAGAGTGGCGGGACAGAGGGATGGAGGGACATAATTTAATAATTAACATTTGTTAAGCAAGGGAAAGTGGTAGTGGGAAAATGGAGACAACTGTATGTGAACAACAATAAAAAAATGAAAAAAAGATCAAAAACAACAACTTGTTAAAATATTATATCATTCTGAATTCTCCTTTCTCCAAAAACCTTGCAATCTCAGGCCCAAGAAACAATGAGAAACTTCCAGGAAAGCTATGAATTCCTTGCACACAAATAAGGTATTGAAGAACACAGCCTCATGAGAGAAAGAGCTTTCCCAAAGCTAAAGGTGAGAAAGAGGGAAAGGACATCTGGCTTAGAGCCCATTTAGATTACAGGTACAAACAAATAGCTTTAAAAAATAAACAAACAACAAATAAACAAGAAATGACAACAAAAATACCCAACACTATCAAAACAGAAAAATCCAAAAAGCAGTTAAAAAATAACATCAATCCACTAGGATTGAGAGTACTTACAAAAAAAAAAAAAAACTGAGAGTTAAGCACAAACCTCGTATTTTTAAAAAATAAAATATGCCTACACAAATACACGGGATGAGCACTGGAGTCTGCCTGGTTCTGCCCACTGTCCGTGTGCTGTGTAAGCTGGCTGCCTGGTTAGTGGTTTCCCCACAATATTAAAAAAGAGAGAGCGAGCTGCTAGCACTGGTGCAGAGGCAGAGGCTGCAGAAGACATCCAGTGAGTGGGGTTAGTGGCATCAGTCAAGTCACAGCATTAATTAACTGTCACAATTCAAAACGCAGCAAGCAAGCTGCCAGTCCGAGCTGCTCTGCAGGCAGGAATGACACCAGCCCCGCTGCAGAGAAAATCCTGGGTAAACGGCAGAACTCTGGGTCCTTCAGGGGAATCCTAGGTTGAAAGAGAAACAAGAGCATTAAGCACGTTCAGAAATATTTCTTTTTGCAAACATCCCACCTAAAAGCCAGAGGATCTATACTTAGTATTTTCTAGCAAAGTTTGAGAATTGATGAACCTCTACCAAGTAAACCTCAATTTGTCCACTTGCTCTAATTTCAGTTCATTACATCATCTTTTTTTTTTCAACCACAGTTTACACTCAGTATCATTCTGCACCAGTTTCAGGTGTACAGCAAAGTGGCCAGGAAACCATGCCCTCTGCAGAGTGCTCCCCTGCTGCCCGAGCACCCACCTGGCCCCAGACCCGGTTAGCTCGACATTATTCACTATAATCACCATGCTGCAATCTGCATCTCTGTGGCTGTTCTGCAACTACTAACTCGTACTGCTTAATCCTTCACCTTTTTCATCCAGTCCCCAAAACCTTCCCCTCTGGCGGCTGTTAGTCTGTCTTCTGTACTATGAGTCTGTTCCTATTTTGTTCATTTTGTTCATGAGATTCTACATATAAGTGAAATCATATGGAATCTGTCTTCCTCTGACTGGTTTATCTCACTTAGTGTAACACCCTCTAGGTCCATCCTTGCTGTCACAAAAAGTAAGATTTCCTTCTTTTTATGGCCAAGTAGTATTCTGTTGTGTAAATGCACCACAGCTTTTTTATCCACTCATCTACTGATGGGCACTTGGGCTGCTTCCAAATGTCGACGACTGTAATAACACTGCAATGAATACATCATCTTAACAGCAACAACAGCTACCACTTTACTAAGTGCTGATTTTGTGCCAAACACTACTCTAAGCTCTTTATGTACATATCACTTATCCTCACAATAACCTGTGCAAGAGGTGATGCACTTGCCATTTTACAGGTGAAGAATCTGAAGCCTACACAGGTTAATATGCCCCAAATATCAACACTAACCCAAATGTTTTTCAAATTTGCATGACGTGGGATAACCTTTGGTAAATAAAGCTAACTGACGTTTGGTTTAATTAAAATAGATATGCCTTCAGGGTTATCAACATTAAATATGTTTCCGTATAACACCTTTGGGGATACAAGATTCTAGTGCTATTGTTTCTTTTCTTCCTTTCTTTCTTTCTTTTTTGCTATTAATTGTTTTTGAGGTTTGGTGTTTATACTTGTAAACTGGATTATAGCCTCAATTTTTCTAATTTCCTGCAATATTTGACTACAACTCTGCAAACTAACATTTCCAGTTTTTCTCCTACCCTTCTGACTGGGCATCACTGAGAACCAAAACAGCCCTCCCCCCGGAACCCTGCAAGCGAAAGTGGGTCAACTTGATGGGAACTACAGAGACATGACCACAACAGCTCCTGTATGGACAACCTTCATGCCTCCTGTTGTATGGGCTACTCAGAAAGATCACCAGAGGCATTCACACTGCAAACCAGGAAAACCTACCAGATTGCCACTGCCTGCCCTCGCTCTGTCTGAGGATGCTTTGAGCTGGACATCTAGCAATCTTCCCGACTGGCTGCCTTCAAAACTCGGAAACTGGGATTATAATCTGCTCTAATCATTAATTTTTGTTCTTTTCTCTTTTTTTGTCTCAACAGATGTGCCTCTTGTTGAATGCCTACACCATAACGTAGAGAACCCACCTGCAACACCACTTCCCAACATGAAACACAATTATTGAACTATAATGACCTATTTTCAGAACTAAGAGACCACTTAGATGACATTTGAAGTGATCTATCAACTCAGGACAGGTTCAAACCTGCTTCCAGCAGATAGCTCAAGATATTAAAATTATTTCACATTACCTAAATTTTTGAACTGACTCCTATGGCCCCTGAGATCACTGACTCAGTTTCAATGCAAGATTCCTCAAGTCTGGCGCAATGACTACAGACTGGACTTCAAACTTTTGCCTGTGTAATTATTACAGAATTTGCTACTATAATCCTATTTAGATGTATACTTTGTGGGTTACAATATGCCCTCCTACCCTTGACTTTTTACATACCAGCTACCCAGGCTGTTCAAGTCCTTGCCATTAACTCTGATGCCTCAGCATCACAGTGGACTGTAATGTTATTCCTGACAGTTGTTTTTCTTTTCGGTAATGCAAGTGTCTGACTTAAGCTTTGATTGCTGAGGCATCCATTTCAAAGAAACATCCACTTCAAAGACAGCTATTTCCAATAAACATGTGGCCAAGCCACAATGACTAGATAAAGAGCTAGGCCCCTTCCCCATGAGGCTCCTATGCTTTAGAGATATTGATTTCAGTAAGTAACCATTTGGGTCACTTGTTTTTTTCTCTTCTCACACTTTAAACTCCCACTCACATGTTTTAAATTCACCAATGAAGACTGAACCCACAAAACCCTAGGCCCCAATGAAAGCAGAACCCTAGGCCAGTGCACTCTCTCTCTACCCATGACCTTGCTATGTGGCCCGAGGTGGGCTGTGTGATTTCCAAGTCCTGTAAGTAATACATCTTTTTTTTCCCAAAAAAATTTCCTGATGGTAATACCTGAAGGGCATCTTGCAATCATAATAAGAACCACGATGGCCAATCCAACCACAACATTGGTTACTGATAGGCTGAGACCAGTACAAAACAGTACTGGTATCTACTAGACACAAGGCACTATCACTTAGAGGAAGAGAAAAACAAATTAACAGGAGGCCACAAATATATCCTTAAGTCTGGCCTCTGTCTTCCAGAAGACAAACTGGTTACAGGTAATACAGGTGAAGTACACATTTTAGTTTATATATAGTTTGTCAGTAAGAGACCAAAGGAAAAAGAAATATCTGTAGCTGTCCACTGGGTGTGTAGGCTCTGGGTTCCCTAGGTGGCGCAGGCCAAGGTCAGCCACCACCTTTGTTTTGCCCAGGGTCACCCAGCATGAGCTGCAATCTTCAGATGACTGCTACTTGTGCTGGGCTTGGAGGTTCCCAGGTGAAGCCATGCTGTGAACCTAGGCTGGCTGCTGCTAGTGCCAGGCCTGGGGCCACTCAGCAAGAGGTACAGAGGCCGGGAGCTTGCTGAGGCTAGCTGTTGCCTATTTAAGAAGATTTAGGTGTTGGGAACCATCCCACCTGGTTTCAGAGACTGTAGCCTCACCAACAGGCAAGAGAGCCAAAAGGCTGGAGCTGAGCAAGGAGACCTTGGGAAAACAGACCATTGAGGAGACAAAACCTGTTCCTCTGGCAGGGGCTGCGCCTTCACATCACCCTGGTTGGCTCCAGAGGATGGCTGGTTAGTCAATAACAGGTAAGACCCCTCGATGGCAGGGGCACTCTAAGACAGGCACAGTCACATAGGGGCCATCAGGGAAGGACTTTGGGTACACAGAGAAGGGGCAAAAGACCCTCACCTCTTGACTTTATCATGGCCAGAGTCCTCATTCTATCTGAAAGAAGTCTTCTTATCTCTTGGCTACTTTGCTCCACCCGCCTAACCGGGCCAATGATACAACAATAGAGGCAGATACAGTCCTGATCTGGATCAGGCAGTTTCAGGGGGCAATTAGGCCTGGAAAAGGAATGCATTAAATCCTATGAAACCTCTTTGCTAAGAATGCCCTCAAGTTAATGAGTACTGGTGTTTGGGGTCTGAGCATAGGATGAGTTTATTTTCCCAGGTTTTAGGGCTGAATATACCTCATCCTGTCTACCAGACCCTGACCTGAGGCAAATCTCTGTGTTCCTTCAATTGTTATCTATGATCTCTATCTGTTTTCTGTAAATACAGCCTTTAGGAATTGATTAATAAGCTTTGCATGCTGCTGAAACCCCTGTGCATATTGTTCTCAATAAAAGCCCCTTCAAGAGAAGGGCTTGGAGCATTCTCCAGTGGAGGGAATCTCCACCCCCTCACCTGACAGATGATTCATGTCTGGTACAGTTTATTTCTTCATCCACGGCGGCCAGGGGGACTCTGTGGGACAGGGTGCCCCTTCATTTAGGAAGATGTGAAGCATGAGCTAAGACAAGCCATTCACATGGAAAAACCACTGTTAACAGCTTGGGTTGGCCCATAAATAGCTTGGTACAGAGTCTTAGGGAACCACCAGGGCAGGGCAAACAGTGTAAGCCAGGTTGATGGTTTCTCAGGTAGAGCCCCCACCTGCTAGCTCTATGGTTCTGTGGCTCTGCAGGGGGAGGGTTCAGAAAAGGAACAATGACCTCTGACTGCTATTCTATCTGGGAGAAAGGTGTCCCCTAGCTCTCGCTCTGAAGCCAGACACAGCAGTTCCTCCCTGTATGCCACTGGTGCCTTTCAAGCTGCTACTCTGGTGCTAGAGCTCAGAGGGAGTGATTCTGAGTAAGTCCATGTATGGGTCCTTTAAGAGGAACTGCTTGGGAGTCCAACAGTTTCTTCTGTTGATTCACTGGTTTTTGCAGCCAGAAGTTATGGGGACTTATCTTCCTGGCACTGGAACCCTGGGCTGGGGGGTCTGTGGTAGTACTCAAACCCCTCATTCCAGAGATATCCTTTCTGATTTTTTATCCACCACATGTGGGTGTGGGACCAGCCCATTCCACATCTCCACATCTCCATCCCTCCTACCAGTCTGGATAGATGTAGTTTCTTTAGTTCTGTAGTTGTTGGACTTCCATTCAACTCGATTTCTGATGGTTCTGAGTGATAGTTTTCTCAACTTAGTTGTAATTTTGATGCAGTTGTGTGAGGAGGTGAGCTGTGTTTACCTATGCACCGTCTTGACCAGAAGGGTAGAATGGATAAGACTCTGACTACTGAAATTAATAAGTAGGTACCTGCACTCACACATACACTCTCACGCACACATACCTTTATACCTCAAATACCAGAGATCCACAATAAATAAATATAAAGGTCTTCAGTAGTAACTTGCAAGAATTGCTTAAGAACCCAGCACATTGGCCTCCAGGTATAGAGAGACCTTTTACCTCTTTCTTAATTAAACTGTCACCCAGAATCAACTCCATGACCCACTAGATCAGCAATTTGCTTTAAACAGGGACACTCCCCGTCGCTGCTCAAATAAATAAGCAGGTACTAATTCAGTGGTTCTCATCTGGGGATGATTTTGCTCCCTTCCCCCCAGCAGACTTGGCAATGTCTGGAGGAATTTTTGGTGTCACAACTAGGTGAAGGGTGCTACTGGCACCTAGTGGGTAGAGACCAGGGATGCTGCTAAATATCATACAATGAATACACAGGACAGCCCCACAGCACAGAATTATTGAGTGCCAGTTAGAGAAACCCTGTGCTATGTAAATGTCTTCTGGAGTACTATTAATGATGATAAGTTGCATTATCTTCAAAAATATTTGTTCCTTTTCTAAAATCGCCATCAATAAAATAGAGGGTTGTATTCATTGTGTAAAAAAAAAAAAGATGGTACAATTAAATCTGTGAGCTTGGTGACTGAAGAAAGTTTATATCTGGAGATGCAGGTGTGGACGCAGTTATCACACAGAGAGCAGAGCTGAGCTGTTAGAGTAGGCCAAGCTGCTAAGAGGGGGAAAAGTAAGAGCAGAAATGAACAGAGATCTTAAGATAGAGTGCTGAAAAATACGAAGAGGTGGAAGGGTAGGCAAATGACAGTAAGCTACTGCAGAGAAGGAAGAGAATTAAAAAGGAAGGAGGAGAACAATAGTGTAACATCTTGTGTAACATCATGGCAGCCAAGGAAAGCATTTCAAGACAGAGGAAGTGACCACGGCAAAGGTAAAATGCAAATGCCATCGCCTGATCCAGTGGAAGGTCATTCGTTATCAGTGGGCCTCCACTTTTCTGAATCACTAACATTTTTAAGAATCTAATAAAAAATATTCTCTCCTCCAGAAAAATGCACACATGTGCCTACATGTAAAATTGCATCAACAATACCAGGAACTTTATTGGAGCTTTATAAAGTCCACGGTTAACAGGTCAAGCATCTCTGCTCTAAAACTTCTTGGTAAATTAGTCCATTAAAATAGCTTATTTTTTAAATGTATTTCTTCAAAAAGCAGAGCTCTCAATAATAAAGACTTAACTATTTCTTGATTATCTTAAAAAATGAAAGCAACAAAAGGTGTAATTGGTACAAAATAATGTATCCTTCAAAAATACCTTACACGTGACTTTGACTTATGGATTAAAGTCAAACTATTTAGACACACATAACTCAAACACCAATCATGCCTCAGCCAAAGAGCCCAGCCTAGAAATCAGAAGCAAGATGGAAGGAAAAAAGTTCAGGTAAGTAATTCAAGGATAAGGAGATTGTACTGAAATCTAATCTTTTAGAGCACTATAAAGATTTATCCATAAAGGCTGAGCTTTTGTTCTCTTTCTATTGCTGATGTCTCGATAGTAATTATGTTCCCGTCTCAGAGAAAAATGAGCATGTCAAACCAAAGATCACTTCAGCTGCCATGCAAGCCTAATAAAACAGACCAAGTCTCATCGAATTTTCCTTACTAACAATTAGGACCACTTGTTTATCCTTTAATAATCACAATGTGCTTCCAAAATGTTATTTCAATTGAGCCTCTTAAGAAATATCTCAAGTACACATAACTACTATCCTCATTTTCGGAAGAGGAAACTTGGGCTCAGAGAGAATGGATGGTTTTCCCCGGCCAGAGGAATGATGACTCAAATCAGGTCTAACTACAAATCCCCTGGTCTTTCCTCAGAGGAAAGCTCAGTAGCCACTGCCTTTTACCAGAAAAGCCTGGGCAACCAGCAATCCCAGCACTAACTAATCCTCTTTGTCCTAAACCTTCAAAAACATCCTGTGTATGATTGCCAGGGTCTGTCAACATGAGCTACCTATCTGGAAAGCTTCACTGAATAAACAAAGCTGAAGTCTACGACCAAAAGGAGTGTAACTATTCCATGTTCACGGAGCATATCTATACTTGGTGGCACAAATGAGTTAACATTTGTTTTTAATTTGCTTAACAAGTACTCTGAAGATACTTTACACGCGTCCCATCTGTCCAAGAATACAGGCACCAGGTGGGTCTATGTTCCCAGCTTGGCCCCTCAGCACCTGGGACAGTGCTGAGTAGATGCTCAATAACCATCTGCTAAATGAACTCAAGGGCAAGGGCCCAGCCTTGTAATTTTTCATTGCTTCTAACTACAACCACTACACTGGGAATTTTAAAAATGCTATTGACTGTCTAGATGCAGAAAGGAACCACATTCAGTAAGAACACAGAAAAAATACAATTAGTACCTTTTTTCCCCTCTTTCTTCCCCTCAGGCCATTTCAATATTGTTGGAGTCATCATGGCAGCTGGAGATCCAGAAAAGAGCTGTAACAGGAAAATTTTATAGTGGCTTAAATATCCTATGTCATTCCTATAGATAGACTTTACTAACAGAGGAGTTATTTACTGGTTCTATTTCAATGTGAGGAGTTTTACTGACATATTTATATCTCATTAACCTTAACTGGTTTTCTTGCTGGCTTAACGAAGTAAACACGCCTGGGATACTTTGGAGGATTCCTCCACAGGTAATGCAGTGCCAGGTAGCCTGGCTCAAATGCTACCCATCCTGTGGAATCTCCTAGTAAAAAGCGCTCCCTCCAGCACTATGTCCATGGAGCTCTTTCATGGTATTTGTCTTCTCTGCTTATGACTGGCCCTATCTTCCTCGAACTCAAAATGTGTTTGTTGAATGAATCAATAAAAACCTACAGAAAGATGACAGCATAAATGAAAGGATTAATTGAGGAAAAAAGCATACTTTACTGAGAAACACAAAGAGATGACAGTATATCAATTTTCCTCCTTTCTACAAATGTACACATACAAAGAGGAAGTATACAGAATTGTATCTTACTAAGCTGATATTTTCTTTGCTGGCTCTCTTCAATTCACCAGTGGCTAGAGATTCCGGAGTAGGGGTCTTGTTTTTCTTTTCTGACATCATTTGATTTCCCAGGACCTTCCGCTGATTTAGGAAGAGAAAATATTTGATTTATAAACATCTGTTACATCTATATTATAGCTATTCTGGCCATCAACGCTAGTTTCTTAGGTTAAAAAAATCTCAGCTTTCTGATAAGTTCTCCCAGGCCATCTCATACAAAGGAGAGTAAAACTACGTTACAAAAAAAGAAAAAAAGAAAAAGAAAACCCTGAAATTATGGCCTTCCTTTAGGTGATCACTTTACCTCTATGTTTAAAAAGACTGTAGTGTTAGAAGCAACTTTACAGTTGATTTAAACTCACTAATACTGGCAATTACAGTATGCTTCTGAGACCATAAAAGAAATACCAGTTACTTACTTGTTAAGAGAAAGAGTCCTCTCCTCCCCTCCCAACTAGAGTATTTACATTGGGTCCACACTAAGTCTTTGCTTTCCTGTCATGTCCTCACACAGTAATGGAAAATTTGGAGGAATTCTATACAAGTTTCGAATAGAGCCACAGAGGGTACAGGTTTTCTTAAGAGGGACACATGACTATAGGGACATACAGAGGAAGACTAAATGCCCTTTCATCTCTGAACAGCTTAGAAGCTGATGTAACCTAATGTAACAGCTGACAGTGACAATTCCATCATCTTTGGAGAAATCTTCCCTTTTTTCTTCTTAGAGAATAATTTGAATTCCCAAAAAAGAACCTATGAAAACTAAACATTAAACTCTGCAATTTAAATATTACCAACAATGTGGCTCAGTGGATTGAGCACTGGCCTGCAAACTGAAAGGTCGCCAGTTCAGTTCCCAGTCAGGGCACATGCCTGGGGTTTGGACCAGGTCCCTGGTTGGGGGCCCGCGAGAGAGGCAACCAGTTGATGTTTCTCTCTCACATCAACGTTTCTCTCCCTCACTTTCTCCCTCCCTTCCCCTCTCTCTAAAAATAAATGAAATATCATTGTTTGTGTTTTTTTTCATTTATTTATTTTTACAGAGATGGGAAGGGAGGGAGAGAGAGGGACAGAAACATCAATGTGTGGTTGCCACTCTCGCACCCATGACTGGGGACCTGGCCCGCAACCCAGGCATGTGCCCTGACTAAAAATTGAACCAGTGATCCTTTGGTTCATAAGCTGGTACTCAACCCATTGAGCCACATCAGCCAGGGCAATAAATAAAATCTTTAAAAAAAAATATTACCGGCAATATTCAGAATGTTCTGATGTGATAAATTATTTACATGAGGGAAATTTTAGAGGAAAAAAGTCTGCCCCCCCCCCAAAAAAAAAGGAATCAAAGTAGGACAGAAATAAAACAGCTAAAATGGAAATGTTTGGCTGACTGACTCTTCAGAAGTCAGATAGCACCTCAGGGCAAGCTGAATTAGGGATGCCAAGAGCCAAAGGACTGGATGTAAAGCCTCCAGTGAACTTTTTAAAAGACTCATTCCATTGGCATTGAGCTGAAACCTATACCTATTATTGGCTCTAAAGCCTCTTCATTTATAATGAAAACACTTTACCCTCCCTTTTACCCAACTGACTAACATTTGTGTTTAAAATTTTTCCAAAATGTTTCATCTTGATAGAAATATAGACTATTATAATTCTAAGGTTCTAAATTCCCTCTCAATAAAAAAGTGGACAGCTGCCAAGAGGATACTATATATTTACATTTCAAACAATTAGCAACACATGTAAAACCAACTGCAGAAGCGCTCACCATGAAAAGAAAACTAGACCCACCTAACTTCAGTGAAAGAAACATTGGTTTGACTGACAGAAACTTTTCTTTGACTCTAGCTTTTCTGGTTATCAATCATCTCCGTGACAGGGAAGTCAGCGGGAATGATAGCCTTCCAAGTAAAATGAACCAAGGATGTTCACTTTACCTGCCACGTCTAGCATGTGAATGCACTTCCAGGGTTCTAGCAAAAGGAATTTGTTTAATTATGGTAAAATATATATAACATAAAATCTGCCATTTTAACTACCTGCAAATGTACAGTTCAGTGGCATTAAGCACAATCACCCTGTTGTACAACACTCACCACCATCCATCTCCAGAACCTTCCCGTCACCCGACACGGAAACCCGTACCCGTTAAACAGTAACTCCCAGCTCCCTCATTCCTTGCTCCTGACAACCACCCTTCCACTTTCTGCCTGAATGAATTTGACTATTCTAGGTACCTCATGTAAGTGTAATAATACAACATTTGTTCTTTTGTGGCTGGCTTATAACACTTAGCATAATGTTTTCAAGTTTCATCCATGTTGTCGCATGTGTCAGCATGCTTTTTAAGGCTGAATAATGTCCCACTGTGTGTATATGTCACATTTTGCTTATTTGTTGATGGATATAAGTGGCTTCCACCTTTTGGCTATTATAAATACACTACTATAAATATAGGTGTACAAATATCTGTTAGTATCCCTATTTTTAATTTGGGAGTCGGGGGGAGGGAATATACTTGTATACCCAGACATGAAATTATTAGATCATACTGTAATTCTATTTTTAATTTTTTTAGAAACCACCATACTGTTTTCCATGGTGGTTGCACCATTTTGCATTCCCACCAATGGTGCATAAGCATTCCAGTTTATCTATATCATACCAACACTTGTTTTCTGTCTTTTTTGAGAACGGCCATCCTCGCGGTTATCAGTTGGTATCTCACTGTGGTTTTGATTTGCATTTCCCTAATGATACGTGATATTGAGCATATATTCATGTGTTTGTCTGCCATTTGTATCTCTTCTTTCTAGATATGTCTATTTAAAGTCCTTTGGCTATTTTGTAATTGGTGTTTTGTTTTTTGTTCTGGAGGGGGTGCTATTATAAGAGTCCTTTTATATTCTGGATAATATTAGCCTCTTATCAGATACATGTTTTACAAATATTTTCTCCCATTCTGTTTGTTGCCTTTTCACTCTGTTAATAGAAAAGGAAATTTTAATGTCAAGCAAACCTAATGTTCCAGAGGCTATTGGCCCCAGTGGATCAGGACTGAGAGTGAGTTCTAAACTTCTAGTAATGATATTACTTAGGACCAAAATTAGAGTTAGATGAAATTGCAACTGTTAACAATTGCAGCTTACTGGAAAAAAATATATATATTACAGGGTATATACATATTTTTAGGGCACAGTTTTTAATTTTAAGCAAGGAGCTCCTTAATTGTTGCTAGATTTATAGATTTTAATAATGCTAAAACAATATTTAAAAGAAAAACAGTAGAATACAGAAAAGTGCTAATCTTGCTCCAAGTTAACCAGAACCTTGCCTTATTTTAGTTATGTCTGGAAATTTGAACCCCATCACCAAGTTATCTACTGCCACCTGATGACAATATCCCTTAACTGCGGGTCCAGTAGCCCACAAAGACCGGGAAATTGAATCTGCGAACAGTGATAGCAGCAACAGCTCAGAAGTACATGTTGTATTTGTTTTAAAAACAAGATCTGTAATGAATTTGACACAAAGTAAGAGTATACAACAACTGATCAAATATTAAGCTCACAAAAATTTGAGTTACCTAAAACTCACAAAATCCATTATCTAACAGTTTTCCTAGTCTCTCTCAATCTTCTCACTCCTCCGTAACTTCAGCAAATTGCATAATGAAGTGTGTAGCACGAAGCAGGTCATGAAGCAAAAGAGACTCTCTACACAGCTCAGGAATAAGGACTCTGTCCTCAACCCCAAAAGAGAAGGATGAGGCTTTATTTCTTTTATTCCTCACTTCTCCAGTCACAGAGTTTCTCTGACTTGAAGCACAGCAAATGCTATGAAAAATAAGTCTTTCCAAATTCTATCCTTATCCCCTTACAAATGAGCCCTTGACAGGACTCCAGAGAATAGGAGAAAACTGTTTATGCATAAGAGTGCTCCAAGTGTCCAGTTTTCTCAGTCAAGGCTGAAGCCGAAAACACACCTACCTTAATGAGGCCACTGAAAGACCGTGAACGGGCTCTCTTCTGTACCTGAGGAGTAGAAGGCTCTCGCCCTGGCGTTTGGGTCACAGGTTGCTTATTAAACTAAAAGAAAACGTAGGGAACATTTTGTTAATATTCTCCCATCAAGAGATAGCATTCTGTGACAACCATATGAATAGCTAAGTGTAAATACCAAGAAAAGTCAAGGAATAAGTGAGTCTGTGCATATGCCAATTAGTAAATAGGGTGACGAGCAAAGCAGAAAGGCAGAAATGATGCTACCAAAAACAAGTCCAAATTTATTAAATTAACTGATGGTTAATTAAATTAAATAGTACACACCAAAAAAAAAAAATCTAATTGGAATCAGATCAAGTTTCTAGAACTAGATCTAACTACCAGTTTATGACAAAGACAGAGGACAGAGGGACATCTTAAACAACACCACAAAGATGCAACCAGCAAAATCCAGACTGTGGAAGATAAGGAGATAAACAATCTGATTTCTTTCGCAAATGAAGTGTGGGGGCAGGGGGTGGAGAGAGAGAATACGTGTGTGCGTATTTAAAGGTAATGCAGTATCCTGGATTGGACCCCAGAAGAGAAAAAGGATATGAGTGGAAAACTGGTAAAATCTGAATAAAGTCTGTAATGTTAATTGTAATGTACCATTGTTGAATTCTTAGTTTTGATAATGTTAACATTAGGAGAAGCTGGGTGAAGGGTATGTGAGAATTCTCTGTACTATCTTTGCATTTTTTCTCTAATTGTAAACTATGTCCAATTCAAGAGTTTATTTAAATAAAGAAACTTTGACAATTTTTTTAGGGGGGAACAAGAGGGATGAGAGAGAAGGAGGGACGTATATATTAAAAGAAACCTAGTAGATGTATCAACGACAACAAAAAAATGAATACCCTCAGGCCATCTCTAGGAAAAAATCTGCAATGAAATACTTATAACAAAAATGTATAAACTAAAAAATGACCTAATTTCCCCAAAATGCCCAACAGAAGTTAAACTATATATACATTAGGTGATATATGATGAAATATTATGCAACCATTAAAAGGTGTACAGCCTTTTAATGACATAGAAAATGTTCGTGATATAATTTTATTTATTCATTTTTTTTAAATCCTCACCCAGGGACTCACTTATTGATTTTTTTTAGGGAGAGAGGAAAGGAAGAAAAGAAAAAGGGAGAGAAATATCAATGTGAGGGAGAACCATCGACCATCAACCAGTTCTCCCTCACATTGATATTTCTCTCCCTTTTTCTACACATCTAGACAGGGGACCAAACCCACAACCAAGGCATATGCCCTGACCGGGAATTGAACCCTCAACCTTTCAGTTTATGGGATGACGCTCCAACCAACTAAGACACAGTGACCAGGGCCATGATATAATTTTAAATGAAAAGGGTAGGATATTCAAAAATTAAATATATATTATAATCTCAATTAAGCAGAAAAAATTTGAAATACACAAGAAACACTAGGAGAAAATACTCTAAAATTATCAGTGGTTATCTCTGAATTATAAATAGTTTTTATTTTCATCTTTATAGACTTCTGGAGTTGGCAATATTTCTATAGTGAATATTTATTATTTTTATAATTATGGAGGAAAAGTTAGGAAACAGTAAAATTACAGTTTCTTCTATAAGAAATGGCTGTATTTTAGAGGTCTTCCGGTCAAGATGGAGGCATAGGTAAATACACCTCACCTCTGTACACAACTAGAGCAAAAAATACAATTAGACCACAAAACAAATATCACCCAGGAGTGTCAGAAAATCAAGCTGTGTGGAAGTTCAGCAACCAAGGATTTAAAGAAGCCACATTCACCCAGACAGGTAGGAGAGGCAGAGTCGTGGAGAGACTTGGAGAGGCATGAAGAGGCGCAGAGAGGCATGGAGAGGCCAGGAGACAGGAATGGGCAGTCGCACTTCCACCTGTGGTAGGTAAAAAATGGAAGGGATACCTCGGGAGTGAGGGATGCCAGCCCCAGTCCAGACCCCCCAGCCCAGGGTTCCAGGACCAGGAAGATAAGTCCCCATAACTTCTAGCTGTAAAAACCAGTGGGGATTGGGGCAGCAAAAGAAACTGTGGGATTCTCAGCAGACTCCTCTTAATGGGCCCGCAACAGACTTAGTACTTATGCGGACCACCCCACCGGGACTCAGCACCAGGACAACACCTGGTAGGGCACCAGTGGCATATGGGGAAAAAGTGAGGTATAAGTGCTGGGAGAGAGCTTCCTCCTGGGCAAAATTCCAGAGGCCTGGAAGTGACATTTGTCACCGCTGCGAGCCCTCCCCAACACACAGCAACAGAGCAGTGACACAGGTTGCCCCACCCTGGCAATTACCAAAGACTCTGCCCCATTCAACTTAACAAGAGTACTTTTCTACAATACACCACACTACTAAGACAGCAAATCAAAGTAGTCCGCCTAATACAGAGAAACAAACTCAGGGAGGCTGCCAAAATGGAAAGACAGAGAAATACGGCCCAAATGAAAGAACAGAACAAAACTCCAGAAAATGAGCTAAATGAAATGGGGATAAGCAACCTATCAGATGCATGGTTGAAAACACTGGTTATCAGGATGCTCCAGGAACTCACTGGGTGCTTCAATGACATAAAAAAGACCCAGGCAGAAAAAAGGTTTCATTAAGGGAAATAATAAAATATCTACAGGGAATCAACAGTGGAGTGAAGAAGCCGAGAATCAAATCAATGATCTGGAACACAAGGAAGGAAAAAACATCCAATTAGAATAGGAAGAAAAAGAATTTAAAAAAACAAGGATAGGCTTAGGAACCTCTGAGACATCTTTAAACGTACCAACAAAATCCGAAACATATGGGTGCCAAAAGGAGAAGAAGAAGAGCAAGAAACTGAAAAGTTATTTGAAAAAATAATGAAAGAAAACTTCCTTAATTTGGTAAAGGAAATAGACGTAAGAGTCCAGGAAGCACAGAGAGTCTGAAACAAGAAGGACCCAAAGAGGCCCACACCAAGACACATCATAATTAAAATGCTAAAGGTTAAAGATAAAGAGAGAACCTTAAAAGCTGCAAGAGAAAAGCAGAGAGTTGCCTACAAAGGAGTTCCCGTAAGACTGTCAGCTGATTTCTCAAAAGAAACCTTGCAGGCAAGAAGGGACTGGCCAGAAGTATTCAAAGTTGTGAAAAGCAAGGATCTACAACCTAGATTACTCTATCCAGCAAAGCTATCATTTATAATTGACAGGCAGAGAGGGTAAAATTAAAGGAGTTAATCATCACCAAGCCATTATTATATGAAACGCTCAAAGGATTTATAAAAGAAAAAGAAGATCAAAACAATGAACATAAAATGGCAATAAATTCACAACTATCAATAATTGAATGCAAATAACAAACTAAGCAAACAAGCAGAACAGGAACAGAATCATAGATATGGAGTTCATTTAGAGGGTTATCAGTGGGGAAGGGGAAGGGGGAAAATGCGGGGGAAGGTGCAAGGATTAAGAAGGAGAAACTGGTAGGTACAAAATAGACAGGCGGATCTTAAGAACAGAATAGGTAATAGAGTAGCCAAAGAACTTACATACATGAACCATGGACATGAATTAAGTGGGGGGACTGCTGGAGGGAATGGGGGTACCAGGTGGAGGGGAGCAAAGAGGAAAAAACTGGGACAACTGTAATAGCATAATCAATAAAATATATTTTAAAAAAGCAAGTAGCAGTCTTTTTAATACAGGCAGGAGTTTGCAGGCAGGTATAAGAAAATGCTTATGCTGTAATAGTAACTGAAAAGGGAACAATAAAAGAAAGCATATGGTAAAATCAAACTATATAAAAATATATCCATACAAAAAAGACTGAAAGAAATAGCCAAAATGTAAACACTGGTGGGGTGAGTGATTTTATTTTCTTCTTATCCTTCTCTATAATTTCCTATTTTTCTTAAAAAAATTAAAAAGAACAAGCAAAAATAATGTTAAGATTTTTCCCTTGTATTATATTTAAGCCCCAGTGCTCCTGATAAGACACCCTCCCTACTCATCCTACCTGAATTGCTATCTTAGTCTCTACCAAGAACCAAATCACTACAATGCTTTGAATCTGTAATAATACTCATCCAACACCCTCTAAAATTTCAGTCATACCACAATTTGCTAGACATTAAAGTAATTTCAAAGAGAATGACAGAAAATTTCTCTTAAGGGGCTGTGTCAATTGTTAAAAAGAGCTCAATTCAACATTTTCTGAGCATTTGTTTATGTCTGCCCTTATGCTTGAGATTAGGTTAAAGGAAAAATTAAAAACACACTCTTCCCTCAAGAAGGTCCCAGCTGAATAAGAAATCAAGAGAATGCCCTGGGTTGTATGGCTCAGTGGGTTTAGCATCGTTTTGAGAACCAAGAGGTTGCTGGTTCGATTCCCAGTCAGGGCACATGCCTGGGTTGCAGGCCAGGTTCCCATTTGGGGGCATGAAACAGGCAACCGATAGATGTTTCTCTTGCATATTGATGTTTCTCTCCCTCTCCTTCTCCCTCCCTTCTCCTCTCTCTAAAAATAAATAAATAGAATCTTTAAATAATAAAAATAAAAATAAATTTCAAAAAAAGAAGTCAAGAGGCTAACCTTGCCTGTTCAGCTACAATTCAAGAGGGTCTGAGATAAAATAAATTTCCTGAGAAAGAAACCAACCAAGTCATCAGGATTTACTCAAGTTACACGTTGAGTCTCAAAATGGCAAATGAGAGACCTCCCATAGCTCCAAAATAAACAAACTTAGTCATTACAATTCCTATTTCTAATATCAGACAAGACCCTTGGCTAACAGTGTTTTCTAACTGCAAACAACTCACTAAGAACTTCCACTTTTGCTCTGCTATGCCAACCACTTTACATAGATTTCCTCTAATCTTTACAACATGGGCATTACAATTACCATTTTACAAAGAAGCAAGCTGAAATTCAGAAAGGTTATTTGCCAAAAAATATGAAGGGCTTAAACTCTGGGATGATATACTTGTATTCTAACTGCTGGTTCTCTCTCAGCAAACTTGGTACATGACCAAATTGGAGAAACTTTAACCTCACTTGGAGCCTTCTGTTTACCTGGAGAAATCCCAGAGCCTCCTCTCCTCTCTTTAATGGGGGAGTAGTACAGAGATCACATTGAGGTTTCATAGAGGTTTGCTTTCATTGCTGAGCCAAAACTTGGGCCAGCAAAGGCCAAAAACTAAAGTGAGATTCTTAACAATATTCCCCAGTGATTCTACAACCATGATCACATTCCTGAAGCCCTGTCACTGTTTCCCTGCTTTCGGGCACCTGTCTGATAAGCTGTTTCTTCTTTGCCGACTCTGGCATATTGTGAACGTGTTGGAACAGCTCTCTCAGTGCCTCTTCCGTGCGCTGCTGGGTCTCTTCCTGATGACAACCGGAATCCGTCCGGTTCCGTTTCTGAGATTTTGCCAGTTGGAAGGGTGTAGAATGACATGAAGTTGTCAGATCAAGGTCATCCTAGATAAAATTTAAAAGTAAATTAATATATCCTACGAGCTTTGTTTTCAGGTTCCCACAACCCTGGAGCTAAAAGAAGGGTAGGGGTATGGGGAACATGGTATATTCTTACACCCAAGAACAAGGAAAGTGTAAAAACTATTATTGGCCCTGGCCAGTGTGGCTCAATTGGTTGGAGCATCGTCCCATAAACCAAAAGGTCACAGGTTCAATTCCTGGTCAGGGCACAGGCCTGGGTTGAGGATCTGGTCCCCAGGAAGGGCACATGCAAGAGGCAACTGATCAATGTTTCTCTCCCTCTCTCTCTCCCTCCCTCCCTTTAATTCTCCCTAAGCATGTTCTTGGGGGAGAAATAAACATCTCTTCAGAGTTTATATAAATTTTATTTTTTAAAAAATAAAAACTCTTATCAGATAAAGAGAAACCTATAATCATAGACTATATTAATAGCCAATCCCATGACCTGCCCAGAGAACCTAAATTCATGCAGGATTATTACAACCAAAAGTTATACAAGAGTTCAGTTTTCAAAGCATCTTTTACTCTCATGTAATTTTCACTGCTATCCTATGAAGTAAACAGGGCAAGTGTCATCATTCCCATCTGATGGAAGAAAAAAACTGAAGTTAAGCCATATGTTTAAACCCCGCTGGATACTAAAGTGACGGACCCATCGTTGAGCCCAAGTGAACTGACTGTGGGCTGGTGCGCTTTCCCACACATGACAGTATGATGTAACAACTACACAGCAGTAGCAGAGGAACAAAAACAACTCTCTAAGAAAAGTCACACCCCAGTTAAACAAGTTGAAATCAAGTACTGTTTTCCTGGTCACATTGACTATTTGCTAAATGAGACACAGAAACAAACAGGAGCAGAAAAAAGTGTAAGATGACAGCTTTAGTTTCTAAACCAGGCAGACTACACAAAAATTACCAAAAAGTAATTGTGAAATTTTTTTAACTTCTCACTTTTAAAGTTCAATAATCACATGTAATCTTGTTAATAAACACCACACATTTGCTTTCTAAGCTCATGTGGTCTCAAGTCTTTTAGCTATTTGGTAGAGTGTTTGTTACCTTACCAGTGAACCTGAAATAAAACCGTATTACATAAAATTGTACTTTTATTACCATAAAATATTTAATACATTTGCCATCTACAGACTATTTATACCATATGCTATAAAGATGCATGCAGGCTTTATGAAAATCTTTAAACATACAGCATATGCCATCAGTGGAGCTCCTCAGAAAGCAGACCATGTGTAGGAGCATTTTTATTTCAACATATAACTTTATTCTCAGTCTTTTTTCTTATCTCAAATTAAATCTCCTGAGAAAGAAACCAACCAATTCATCAGGATTTACTTAAGCTACACCCTGAGTCTCAAAATGGCAAATGAGGCCCCTCCCATGACTTCAAAATAATCAAACTTGGCCACTAGCATTCCTATTTCTAATGTCAGACAAGGTTCTTGACTAGATAATTTTAAACTCCAATAAAAACATTTTATTTTCCATGGCTTTAATTTGATTTCATACTTTAAAACTCCATTAATGTTTTTTCTATTTTCAGGTATGTTTATTAAAGCTGGGGGCAGTGAAACAAGGAAGGGCATAGGAGAGAAGTGGCAACAGGAGAGAGTCCAGGCGGGGCAGCTTTGGCTCGCTAGAAATGTTATAGAAAAGAAGTTTGTTTTCTAGATTCAGCTGTTGATACATATGTATTTATTGACACTTTGTTGTTCATAGCTTGGGTCTTCTCCTTTTTGTTAAATAAGTCCCTTTAATGTCCCATATAATAATGGTTTGGTGATGATGAACTCCTTTAGTTTTTTCTAGCCTGGGAAGCCCTTTATCTGCCCTTTATTCAATTCTAAATGGTATCTTTGCTGGGTAGAGCAACCTTGGCTGTAGGTCCCTGCTTTTCATAACTAAATATTTCTTGCCAATCCCTTTTAGCCTGCAAAGTTTCTTTTGAGAAATCAGCTGACAGTCTTATGGGAACTCCCCTACAGATAACTAACTGCTTTTCTCTTGCTGCTTTTAAGATTCTCTTTATCTTTAACCTTTAGCATTTTAATTATGATATCTCTTGGTGTGAGCCTCTTTGCATCCATCTTGTTTGGGACTCTCTGTGCTTCCTGACCTTGCATGTCTATTTCCTTCACCAAATTAAGAAAGTTATCTTCCATTATTTTTTCAAGTAGATTTCCAGTTTCTTGCTCTTTCTCTTCTCCTTCTGGCACCCTCGTGATGTGAATGTTGGACTACTGAAGTTGTCCCAGAGGCTACTTACACTTTCCTCATTTTGGGGGGTTTTTTTTCCTTCTTGTTGTTCTAATAGGTTGTTTTTTCCTTCCTTATGTTCCAAATCGTTGATTTGACTCTCAGCTTCATCCACTCTACTGTTGTTTCCCTGTAAGTTGTTCTTTATTTCAATTAGTGCATCCTTCATTTCTGACTGGATCCTTTTTTATGTTGACTGAGTTCCTTGAGCATCCTTATAACCAGTGTTTTGAATTCTGCATCTGATAGACTGTTTATCTCCATTTTGTTTAGTTCTTTTGCTAGAGCTTTGATATGTTCTTTCATTTGGGCCCAGAATCATGGATACTGAGAGCATTTTTATGGTTGCCAGATGGGAGGGGGCTGTACAGAAATGGATGAAGAAGTGAAGGGATTAAGAAATACAATTTGGTAGTTACAGAATAGCTATGGAGATGTAAAGTACAGTACAGGAAATGGAGTAACCAAACAAGATATACGCATGACCCATGGACATGAACAATGGTGTGGGAATTGCCTGAAGGAGTGAGGAGTGCTAGATGAAGGGGAACTAAAGGGAAGAAATTGGGACAACTGTAATAGTATAGTCAATAAAATATCATTTAAAAAAATAAATATCTTAAAAATAGAAAAGAAAAGAAGTGAGCCTAGGTGAGGCTTCTTTGGCTCACTGAAAAGCCAGAGAAAAGGAGTCTTGGAGATAGGTTCAGGGGGTAGCCCAGGACAAGCTGCTGTTGCCCATTGCTCCCCTGGTTGCAAGTCTGGTGCGGTGCTAAGAGATGCCTAGAGTTTAGGAGATACACCCCTGAGAGGGGGGAAGAAGGGGAAGGGAAAGGTGTAGGTATGTTCCCAGGAGGGAGAGCACACTAAAATTCCATTAATTTTAATTAATATTCTCCTTGTTTGGTCTAAGAGCAATTTCCTATTCTTACCTTTGATGCTTGAGTTCTGGAGCCCAAATAGTGCAACCTGGCACACTCCCGAATGTAAGCAGGGGCCTGGGCAGGTTATAAAAGAAATCCAAGACAAAATAATTAGTAGTGTCTAAAATTCTTTTAAGACTCAAGGACAGTGGTTCTCAAAATAATTTGACTGCCAGAGTACTTTGGAAAACAAAAGGTCTTCAAAATGCCCTATTCTATAGATTCCACCAAAAAGGTAATTTCAACAAATCTGATGGGAAACTGTGAGAAGATACCACTATAGTTGTTTCTGTTTTAAGAATCAAATATGGCGTGAACATTCTCAAATGAGCCAGAAACAAAAATATAGATATTTGTAGTAATGCTTATACTTAACCAAAGCCACTCCTAAAATTCTTACAAAGTATAAATGGTCATATTTTAATATCACTGTATAGAAAATACCATTTGGAATTCCTATGCGGCAACAACAGATATGGAAGAACTTAGCTTACCGATATATTGCTCAAAATTCTATAATAAGAAACCTGATACAGTCCTAGTAGAATTATAAAATAATATAACCACTATGGAAGAGACTTTAGCAACATCTAAGAAAATTACATTTGCATTTACCACTTACCCAGAAATCTCACTTCTGCAAATCTATACTGAAGATAGAACTTCAGAAACACAAATACATTTGGGTACGATGAATCAAAAGAGTAGACACACCTCAAATATCTACTAACAGGGGACTGATTGAATGAACTTTTATACATCCATTCAATGCAGTCCTATGCAGTCATTAAAAATGAAAGAAGGAAGGGAAGGTGTGAAGGGAGTGAGGAAGGGAAGAAATACTTTGTGAACTGACATGGAGTGATTTCCAGGATCTACTGTTGTGACAGTGTATAAAGGACTTGGGGAAAAAATGAAGAAGAAATAAGAATATACACATTTATTTGGTTTTACAAAAAGAAACACTAAGGATAAACCAGAAAACAATGCAAATAGTAAAGAAAAGAATTAAGATTTCTCTGAGTATACCTTCTCATATACTTTTGACTTTTCAACCATGCAATATACTATATATTCAAAAAATAAAATTAAATCCAAAGGAAAAAAGGTAAACCCTAAAACTGAACACAAAGAGAAAAAAATGAATATATTTGTATATCAAATTGATAATACAAGCACGGAGAAAGGATGAGCTCACCTAAATTTTGAAAACTGTATTTTAACTACACATCCTTAGTGAGACAGTTCCAAGGGAAAAGAAACTGCAGAGAAATCTTAAACTTCCATCAGTAGGTCTATGGAGGTTTACTGTTAGTAGTAACAGTTGTATTACTTTGATACTAATTTATGTACATCACAGGATAAAACAAATAATACACATAAATGCTATGAAAATCTGGAATTTACGATGTAATAAAAGAGATACAAATATAAGGTAAACAAATCAAGAGAAAGCTCTGTAATATTAAATATAAATTGGAAATATTAAAATGAACTGATTTTTGCTTAAAATTTTAATCTACTTCCTTGCCCTCAAAGAGCCAATAACACCCCCAGAAACAAACAAACAGAAAAAAATGAAGTGTTGAAGAAACCAAGGCTCCTTACAGAAAATTATTGATTTCAGGCCCATGGTAGGGCAAGAATAAAGAGAGCCGGGGATACTTTCCTTTTACTTTTTTTTTATTGATTGATTTTTAGAGAAGGTGGGGGAGAGAGAAACTGATTTATTGTTCACTTATTTATGCATTCATCGGCTGCTTCTTGTATGTGATCTGACCGGAGATAGAGCCCACAACCTCGGTTTACCAGGACAATGCTCTAACCAACTAAGCCACCCAGCCAAGGCAGCTGGGGACATTTTATGCCAAAAAGGAAACACTCGAAGAGTAACGGGGTCCTGTCAAAGAGACACAACAGGAACTAGCTTTCAAGGACAATCACTAGCCAAATTTGGGACAATCTGATATTCCAAATTAGTGCGAAATTGACAAACACTTTGAATAACTAAAAATACGTGAGTCTATAGTGACACTGATAAAAGAGAATTAGACAGAAAAAAGGAAAACTCTTCTCAAAAGAAGAAAGTCAGCTAATAAGATCAAATAATAGAATTAGAAAATCACTATTTTATAATACACAATGTAATCATAGAGTCCAGCAGGATTATCAATAGATTCTAAAATCATTATATTAGGCAATCTCCCTGCAGGTTACTTACTGTACCAATGGGGAAAAATACGTATCTTTACATTGAGATATGCGGCAGCTAGCAAAATTAGTGTCACTAAGGGTGAGGCAATTTGACATTCTGTGCTTTGTAATCTGATGCAATATGATACAATACAATATATACAAATATCTTTGCCAAAATTGCTTAACTTGAATCTAACTTCCGTTTACAGGGACTACAGATATATAGAAGAGGACAGAGGAACAAGCTACGTGACCTTGAGAAAACAATAAGACTACTTTAGAATGTGGAATATTCTAAAACACAATTGGCCTGAATGCCTCAACAAATCAATGACATGAAGAAAAAGCATGACTGTTTCAGATTTTTAAAATGACACAATAATCAAAAGTAATTCATAAACCTCAATTAGATTATGTTTTTAAAAAGCAGCTACAAAATATAATCTGAACACAAATGAAGATATTTGAATTTGCACTAAATATTAGCTGATAAGAAATTATTATTAATTACCTTACATGTGAAAATGGTATTGTGACTAACAAGAGAATATTCTTATTCTTTAGGAGATGCATGCTTAAGTATTTAAAGTACAATGATGTCTGCAATTTACTATCAGTGGTTCAACTGCAAAAAAAAAATGTATAAAAATATAGAGATAAAGCTGAACATTTGCTGAATCTGAGGGAGAGTTATATGAATGTTCACTGCTTTATTCTTTGTATTTCTCTCTATATTTGAATTGTTTTTAAAAAAGTCTTGTGACTAACATATCTACAGTTTAATCTTTAACTTGAAAACTATAAAACAGAGCTAAAGACTAAAAGTAACTTCCTCCAAACAAGGATATGACAGAACCCACACCACCTATTCTATAAACTTCTATAAACCATAAAGGTAGCCAGTTCGATTCCCAGTCAGGGCACATGCCCGGGTTGTGAGGCAGGTCCCTAGTTGGGGGGATGCAAGAGGCATCCAATTAATGTATCTCTTGCACATCAATGCTCCTCTCCCTTTCTTTCTTTCTCCCTCCCTTCCCTTCTCTCTAAAAATAAATAAATGAAATCTTTTTTAAAAATAAAATAAAAAAACAAATAAAAACACTGTCCCCAAAAGATAATACAGCTGAAGGGAAATACAGAAAGGGAGCCAGAAATGGATTGGTTTCAATTAAAATTTGGGGGTCTTAAGCATTTTATAATTCATAGGAAACAAAAGGACTTCCCAGATAAAATGAAAATTGGCCTTACCCGTACATGAGGGCCCCTAGGAAAAGATGTGGTGGCTCATGTTGGAGAGTGATAAAATTAGACTGCGTCACACAACAGAGGACAGAACTACAAATAGCTAACGGAATTTTAGGGAAATGGTAGAGCAGGAAAAAAAAAAAAGAACACAGAATGAGGCAACAGGATAGAAGGATCAAGGGGGTAAAAAGTCCACACAAAGAAGCCTGAGAACAAGAAGACGCAACAGAGCACAAGAACAAATCTGGAGCAAAACAGGAGCCCAGAATAAGTGACAGAGCACACAGAACAAGCAACCATTTTTCATCCAGGAGAAAAGCTCAGGGAAGGACATAATCGGCCAAAGTGGTAGAGCACGCGCCTACAAGGATACCAGTTCTGACCCAGATTGAAAGAGAAGAGACCTAAGACTAACATAAATCTCAAAAAAACTTACTGTCTCTCCTTTAGTGATCAACAAAGGCTCAAACAGTGCTCATAATAGACTGGGAACAAAGATAAAGTAGCAAACAAGAATCAAAACTGCAAGGATGAGAAGCTGAAAGAGGAATCACAGGAGACAAGAAAAAAAAAAAAGAGTAAAAACAGAGCCTGAAAGACTCTAATCATTCGATTTAGTACCAAGCTGAAGAACATCTAGGAGACTACTCTCTAGTTTTATCTCTAAAGTTTGTATGAACTGTACTCTCAAAATCCTCTACAGTGATTTGTTATCTTACATGATAAAAAAAAAAAAGGCAGGGGCAGGGGGCGGAGGAGGGGGGATACTTTGCTAGTGTGATTAAGTTAAGGGCCTTGCAGTGGGAAGATTATCCTAGGTTATCAGGGTGGGTCCAATATATAAATCACAGGGGTCCTTAAAAGCAGGGACCCTTTTCCAGCAGTAGCCAGAAGGAAATGTGACTATGGAAGAACAGTCAGCGAGATGCAACATTCATGACCTTGAAGACAGAGAAAGGGGACCATGAGCCAAGGAACGTGGACAACCTCTAGAAGGGGAAAAAGGCAAATAAACAGAGTCTCTCTTGGAACATCCAGAAAAAAATGCAACCTTGCCAACACCTTGATTTTAGCCCAAGTATATAATTTCAGTTTTGCAAAATGAAAAGAGTTCTAGAGATGGAGGGTGGTAATCATTGCACAACAATATGTGTGTAATTTGTGAACAAAAAACGGGGGTTCTATGACAGGAACCTCACTGGGTGATCTGATTGTAAATTTCTAACTGGGAAAGTCAAGGTGGGTAGTCACGACCAAGGCCTATATCTTCTTTACTAAAAGGTTTTTAAGCAAGCCCTGTCCATTGTCCTTGTGTCTAGGTTAATATATCTTTGAAATAGCAGAAGCAACACCCCTTGAAATGGTATTAACCCTCAAGAAAGCACATAATCTTGTTCACTATCCTGTGATCCAATCCCTGCCTTGCTTTCTCCCCACCTCCATATAATCTTCCTTACTTTCCTTCCTTAATTTCAAATGCACAAAAGAAGCTACAAAACAGTTATTCTCTGGAACAGTTTGAGATCTTGCTCCTCAGCATATGTCATCAGTTTGGTTCAAATAAACTCATAAAGACTCTCTACAGGTTTGGACGCTACTTACATGGACAAATTAATGCCACTGAACACAGTTAAGAGGGTAAATTTTGTCATGGGTATTTTACCACAATAAAAAAAATTTAAAGAAACCAGAATTGGATTATCTGGAAAATTCTCAGCCTTTCCAGATGGCAAAAGATGTTAAAATTAAGAAATTCACTATCAGAAAAGTGAGCACTAAAGGCAAGTCCAAGGATGTGACTGTGCAACCTTTATAAATTCTTACGAACATCGAAAGGTCCGATATTCAGTGACACAAAGGGCCCTTTCAAGAGAGTAAAGGTGTGCCTCACAGGCAGATCCTCTCAATCAAACCAGAGAGTCTCTAGGAGGCTTAAAGGTATTGTTCCTCAGCCTTCTCATCAAGAGATCAAGTAGAGAATGGTTTATCTTCAAAGGATTTGTATATGTGGCTTTGGACTAATGAAGTAAATCCCACTAAAATTCCCAGAAGACCCACAAAGTTCTTGAGAAAATTATGTTGGCAGAAACACTGCTAGTTTGAACTAAAAGGGGCAGAGTTCAAAATGAAAGGAGGCTGCCAGACCCTCAATATTTTACTGGCAGGAAGCAGGCAGGATAAAACGCCTCTGGCTAACATATGCTGCTCTTCAGGAAAAGGGAAGGATGTGTCAGACAGGGAAGCCCATTACCCAGGGGGCAGAGCCCCCGCTCAGCCTCGAGGTACCTTGCTATCCTCCCCACCCCGGTCGTTCCCTCCAGGTTTTGCCCCTGCCTAATCTGCTTTTCAGAACCAGGGGCTTTCTTATCTGCTCATTTCTATAGCCCTCCTTAGGATCCCACCTTGCTCCATCCTCCTCGTCTGCTACCACCCAACCCCATTCCTTACCTACCTTAAAAAGTTTCTGGGAGTGTTTAATCATGAAAGCCATCCCATTGTTTAACTTTGTGATATTCTCTTGGAGGTCATTTGCAGTGACCTATTCAGAGAAATACAAAAACAAAAAAAGGGGGATTAAGAACTGGCAGATACTCCATTTACTTACCAATAAGCTTATTCTTTTAAAGGTATGAGATTTCCACTGGAATGACATAATCTAGGAGGAACCATGTGTCTCTGAAGTGACCAGGAAATCCTTACGAACCAATCTTCATTTTCTGATTCTGCTTGAGAATTAGACATGCAAGCAGAGTTGCTAAAGATCTAGTCTGGGAAAAGGGTCAGGAAGAACAGAATCTGTACCAACCACCAAGGAGGTTGCCTCTTCAGACAAACAGGAGCTTCTCCAAAGACAAGAGACTGTCACTACTAAATGACACCAAAGGTGACATCTGTTTCTTAAAAACACAAATGGTCATTGATTCCCTTCTCCTGTTTCTCCTGCCTATGTTTTAAGCACTTAAGCATCTCTGCTATGCCAAAGCCTTCATCCTCAACATGTATCTTTATTACTTAAGTTTTGTTTTTGGCAAGACTTCTTACATACTTTTCTTTATAGGCACAGATCACTCATTCCTTTTCACAGTTTCAGTTAACTGGTTCTAAAATCCTTAATATGGACAAACGTTGGCGTGCGCTTTCTTCTCATCACCCAACCACCCTCCCACCCTCGTCCTCACCCCCTACCAACCTTTCTCTGGGGAGGGGATCCTCCTGGCCCAGGACTTTGCAGTATTTTTTTCACTAGTTACTTGTTAAGTAAAATGTACACATAACCCCTTCTTTGCCTTCCTTGTCTCATTTCTTATATCCCCCAAATATTTTATAAGTCAACTATATCCCTCTATTTCTATTATCTTTCCAACTACCTCGTCAGGTAAGTGGGAAAAGTATACTATTATACACAGTTTGCAGAGAAGGCTAAGCATAGAAAGGGTAAAGAATACAGACCACAGTTGGCTTACAGCTTCCAACCCAAGTATCCTGGCTCCCAATTCCATCATACAGTAAAATCTGTATTATGAATGGTCAGGAACATGAACCTATATACCTCTAGACCAAGAATCAAGTCAAAAGATTTTAGATAATTTATTTTTCATGTAAGTCATTGAGAAGGCCATGTTCTCAGTAATAAGAAGCACATTCAGGAAGGTTAGGACAAACCAGGATGGCTCTGTACGTCATCTAAAAGCTTAGTGGCATTATCCTGTAAGATCAAACAGCTCTATTTCTTTTTTTATTTTTTAGAGAAAGGAAAGAGGGAAGAGGAACAGGGAAGAGAAAGAGAGAAACATTGATTTGTTTTTCCATTTATTTATGCATTCATTGGTTGATTTCTGTATGTGCCCTGACCAAGGATTCAACCCGCAACTTTGGTGTATCAGGACGACACTCTAAGCAAATGAGCTACCCAGCCCAGGTCTAACAGCTCCATTCTAAATTTATACCACGCAATCTTCAGGAATCAATCTGATTCCCCAAGATAGCTTTCATGTTAAGAAGGAAATTACATTAACCAGTCAAAATGAGTATTCTTGTTTATTTAGTAGCTATAATTTTTCACTGAGTTTCTACTAATAAAGTGCCATTCAGGTTTATCAGAGATTAATTTATAAGTGAGGTTAACAAGAATTGCCCCCCTCAGGTTGGGTAACTCTTAAACGAACTAATAAAGTTAGTCCTTAAACTAGTTAAATAAAAGACTAGACCTTGGACCCTAGATAACTTCACCAAGGTACAGTCACAGGATAAGGCCCAGCCCAAGAACACCTAGCAGTCTTTGTTCTTCCCCTCAGCACTCACATTTTTTGGCCACAAGACATGGGGTGCAAACATAAGGGCTAGGTTATAGGCAGACATCTTATTCTTGTCTTGTTTCTTTGCCGTCTGGTACAGGAGATCAAGCAATAACTTCAGCAAGTTACGATTGGGTGGAGGGAGAATGAGGAAGAGCAATTGAAGAGCCTCAATTTGCCGTGCCTTATCTGGTATATTGGTCTTGTTTCCTTTATCATCAAACTGCATCAAATCTTGAAAACAAAAGAGATGATTGCAAAGGAGGGATAAAATACAAGCAAGAAAAAAAATCATTGTCCTTACTATTATCCTCCCCTCAACTCCAATTAAAAAAAGAATCAGGAACAAACAGAGATTATAGCATAATAACAAAATAACATCACTACAATTCAATAATAAAAACCCAATCAAAAGAAAAACCCAGTAAAAAAATAGGCAAAAAACACCAAAGAAGATATACAAATGGCCAATAAGTATACTCAGTATCATTAACGATCAGGGAAATGTAAATCAAAACCATAATGAGATACGCTTCATACCCACTAGTATGGCTATAATCAAAAATACTGACAATAAAAAATTTTAACAAGAATGCTGAGAAAATTAAATCCTCCTACACATCGCTGGTGAGAATGTAAAATGGCACAACCACTTTGAAAACACGCTTGAGAATTTCTCAAAAAGTTAAACATAGAATTACTATAAGACCCAGCAATCTTACTCCTAGGCGTACACCCAAGAGAAATAAAAATATTGTCCACACATACGTTTCATAATTCCACTCCTTCACTTTTCCTCACCCAGGTATTTTGTTGCTAAAAGAAACATGAGAATGAATTATGCCCTGGTAACAGGACAATCCAAATCCAGGCAGCCCCTCATGGGGTCCGAATCATTGTTTCTCCCCTAACAGACTGCACAGCTTATCAATAAAAACAGTCCCCTGGACAACGGAACTTTCAAAAGACACAGATAACTATTTGGGTATAATGCATATAGACCTGAAAATGATCATACTGTGTTGTTTAAGCTGTTGAACTGCAATAATAAATCCAGGTTTAGGAAAGACAGATCATACTTCTAGAAACTGTTCACTGTTAATATGAAATTGGAAAAAAAAAAATCCCCGCTAGTTATCAGCAAGGCATAGCAAATACTACAACTGTGCCACACCTCAATATAACCTCAAAGAACAGTGAATCATGGGATGTTGGAGGGGAGGATTTCAAACACTGTACTAAATTAATTCAATGGGAAAGCAAACAGAAGATATTCTTCATGTTACCCTTATAAAAAGAATTTATCAATATTTTCCATACCTTTTTCAAAGACTCAACGATTTTATTTCTCTCCAAAATAACTGTAAAGTTATATAATATTCTAGTAGTATTTCCTCATTTGTATCATCTGGATTATTACTGATAGTGCTAAAAAGATCTAATCTTATTTAATTTTAGAAATTCAAACTTGGTTTTCTTTTAAACAGTAAAACGTATTGAAAAGAAAAAAATCTTATGTTTACTTTTCTTCAAATTAGAAGCAAGAAGTGCTTGCTTCGGCAGCACTTATCCTAAAATTGGAACAATGCAGAGAAAATTAACACGGCCCCTGCACAAGGGTGACACACAAATCCGTGATGCGTTCCATGAAAAAAAAAATTATAAGAAAGAGAAAAATGCTCGTGGGTGGGAAAACCACAGCAGCATAACAGCTGTGCAACTGAAGAATGAACTCTCTGCCACATAGGCAGACGGGAGAATGAGGAAACTAGGAGCTGAAAACGGAACATTCTCCAAGATACATTAAGTTAAAAAAAAACAAACCAAACACCATAAATCTAACGCCCTACCATCACATAAAAAGAAGGAAAGGAATATATCTAAGTATTTGTAAGTCTATAAACTACCTCTGGAAGGATACATTAGCAATCATAGCACTGTCTGCCTCTGGGAAGAAAAAGCAGGTGTTGGGGAAGCAGGGTGGGAGAGAGTCTTTTCACTGTATACGCTTTTGGACACTTTGAATTTGAACCATGTGAATGTACTGACTATTTAGAAAGCAAATAAAATTATTTTTAAAAAACAAACTTCAAGGAGGATAAATGGGAATGGAAAAAGATACAATAAAAAAATTGAATAATAAATAAAATAAAAAACATACTTCCTTGGGGTAGTGAACATACAATACAATATACAGATGATGTATTATAGAATTGTACACCTGAAACCTATATAATTTTATCCACCAGTGACACCCTAATAAATTTAATTTTAAAAATCCTAGGGAAAAGAAAAAAAAAAATTTCCAAGAGTACAGATGTTCTCAACTGAGGCAAAATTATACTTAGCAAAAGCCTCAAACTAAGGCAAATGTACCAAACCTATAACCATCTCGGTAATGTGAATTGATGCAATGAAAGCATACATTTATTAAGCAGCTAAATATCCAAAGCACTATAGTAGGATTCCTGAGGAATAAAAAATAATTAAAACTCAGAATTTATCTTCAAAGAAGCTAATTTAGCAAGAAAAACATTTGATTAAATCAAACTTAGCTGGCCAATACTTAAAAGTACCCAGAAAAACCCAGAAATACCATGAAGTTTTAAACAATGTTAGCAGAAGTATTTTGGGTTTTTTTTCTTTTTTTTTCTTTTTTCTTTCTTTTTCGTCTAGCAGAAGTATTGCTATGGGTTACAAACAAAAGAAAATTCCAAAGGATTTTACTAAATTGAAAGAAATGTATTTACATCTCCAGCTCACCTCCTTTACTCACCAGCAATTTTGAGGTGCGCGTGGAAATGCTTATGTGTCAGCAAGGGCTCAGGTAATTCTCCTAGAAACATCTTCAGCAAGGTGGCAACGTCATTTGAGTGAAACTCCCCTGATTCCAAGTCAATATCAGTGCCGTTATTGAGAGCATCCCTTAAAATTTGCTGTCGGACACTATTCCCTGGTACTCTAAACAAACCCTCGACTCGCAAGTCTGTTTAGCATTAAAGAAAATGGGATATGCAAAAAGGAAGCAAAAAGAGAAAGTATGATTAAAGTAAGTCATCTAAAAAAAAGAAAAAGAAAGTAAGTCATCTAAAAGGCTACTTTACACTAGAAAGTCCTTGAAGAATGTTTTTTCCCATTTTTCCAGAGTGGTTTAGAACCCAGTAGGCCCTGAGGGGACATTCTAAACATCCCTGGGCACCTGGAGATCTCCCAGACCGAAGTCCACCCCGGAGTCACTCAAAGTCCTGAGGCATATCTGGGGACTGACTTTAATCTGAACAACAGAAGTGAGCCTGAAAAATAAGTTGGAAGAAAAGACAAATCTCCCAGAGGGCCCCTTTCCTTTGCCATCCCAGACATTGCTTGAAGGGGTTGAGTTCATATGCGCAGGTTTGTTGCTCCTATAAACAGTTTCCCAGCCCAAAATAAATCTAGAGCCTCTGTGTTTCCACTGGAATTGGAACTCTAACCTATCAGATCACCTTTCAGTCTAAGATTCCTGGATTCTTCACATCATCCCACCTGAACTATGTTTCCCTCCCAACTAGGTTCTAAACTAATCTCAAGGGATAAAAAAGATGGAACGTATAGTTTGGGTTTGATCTGGAAGAAGCGTGAGAGTTCATGTTTTCAGTTTGGGTACGTATTTATCGTCATATAACTCTTTAATTGAGGGGACCAAGTTCAAACGCCCACAAGGCCAGGCAGGTAACAGTAAACAAGTGAGCAGGAACTATAACCAACTGGAGAGCACACACCTGTGCTCTAGCTGATTGTGTCAAAGTGGCAACGGGCCCAAGGATGCTGGATCTTCCTATCATCCCAAGAAATTAAAAACCTGGATTTTCCCCATTTTAAAGCACTGATAACTAATTTTATTTTCAATTTAATCCTTTGCCAGCCAAACAACGCCTGAGTGTGGACAGCGAGCACTCTGGCTGCCAGTTTGCAACCTCTGCCCCAGCTCCTAGCACAGCAACCCACATAGAACAAGCCCTAAGTGTTTGTGTTGGACTCACTGAAGGGTCATATAATGCCACGCATTTCACATACACTCAACTGTGCCAAGCAATTACAGCAACGACATAACCAGCATGACCACAAAAAGACAGTGGGAATTAAGTGAAGAGTGCATTATAATCATGGAGTTCTAAAAACCAAAGTATCTTTAGTGATAAATCATGCTCCCTGGAATAAATGTTACAATTCTCTAGGGACAGTCTATTTTTCCAGAAAAAATGTCTCTCTGAGTCAAGGGGAAGATGTGATTTCATAGACACTATCTAATTTATATACATCTTTGAAAATAAAAGCAAATCAATACATGAGATGAAATTTTAAAGAGAATATATTTAGAAACACGCCACCTGAAAGTATCACTGATTAGTGTCTTTGTTGATGGTTAATTGGCACCTACTAACTCAAGGACATTAGCTCTCAGTAGAAAACTGACAATTCTTTATTAAAAAACAACAAAATTTCAAGTAGTCTTACTTTTGTGTAGATATTCAATTAGCTGGTATATCTGGGCAATGCCTTCCTCTGTCAGTGGGGATCCAAATATTACGCCTTTTTCTTAAAAAACAAAACAAAACAATAGGACAGGACCATATTTTCCAGAAATAGCACAAAATCAGCATACTGAAAACTGCTCAAGCATCCTATGTTACAGTTCAGCAAATGCTTTCACAAGGTCAGTAAACAAAACCCTTGGAGCTGAAAGTGTGCCAGAAAATGCAATCAAAACAACTCTCAATCAACTCTGCAAGTTTAATATTAGATTTTAGGTTCCTTGAAGGCAAAGACCATCTTCTCATTTAAGTAACAATACCTTAAATGTTGATATTTAATTTAAAAACAAATAATAGAACTTAGATCATAATTATCAAAGCATGGAATGAGGGTGGGAGGTGAGGAGGGTGGGGCAGGGGAAAGTGGTGGCAGGAAAATGGAGACAAATGTATTTGAACAATAAAAAAAAATAATCATAATAGTAATTGTCAAAGCATGACAGATTATCTGCTAGAGTCGGTACAGGGTCTGATCTGTTATAATGTTTAAACTCTTTGCTACCTTAATGATTTCATTATAGTTAATAAAATAAAATAGTATCTCTTTAATATCTTATCTAAAGCAGCATTACAAATTATTTATTGGCTGATTCATAGGTATTTGTCTTTTCAAAGCATTCCATGGAATGAAAACATTTGGGAACTAACAACTACATTACAAAAAGAAAAAAAAAGAAATATAAAGAATTTCAAACTGTCTTTACTGTACCGCTAGCTGTGTAACTTTGTTTTCTTAAGTATTACTTTAGTACAGTATTAATGGAGCATGAAAATCCAGGTGCCCCTGATAAATTTCTAAACTAATATGTCATCCCTCAAGGACAGATATATATTTGCTTTACTTTATCTAGACTGTTTCTATAATTTTTATTGTTTTAATCCTTCTGAAAATGAAAAAAAAAAAAAAGGAGGTATTAGCAGCTCCTCAATGAATATGCAGAGGTGAAGAGTGAAGCCCAGGAAGCAACTGAGGCAGGTGCACTCTTCCCAGACACATCTCCTACCCTTTCGCTTGAGAGACATCAGAGACCGGAAAAATCCTGTCGCTGCACCAGCCCCACCAGGCAACTTAAGGTCCATCTCTCCCATCAGCTGAGCCAACTCAGTTCCAGGTAGATCAATGAGTCTTGTGATATTGCTGACCACCAACTCAGTGAACACCTCAGGTTTCTCATGCCGGAGTTTTTCCACAAAAAAGTCAGGATTGAAGATAATGGGCTGACCTCGAAGGGAAGAGTCATTGCAGATAACAAAATTGCAGATGGCATCACTGAAAAAAAAGAAACAGAAGAATCTTTGGGGGGATCATTTTTATGTGTTTCTCATGCGTTCTCAGTCACATAAGTATTCGCTCTTTCTATGGGTTAATCTACAGACTGGTCTTCCGGAAAACCTTATTCTTAATGTGTTCACTGCACCAAAGAAGGCAATTTGGACTTATTGCTGTTTAATTTACACCCACCTAGATACTCAGGAATTTAGTTTAAAAAAAAAAAGACACCAAATAGCCTCTATTATATGATCTGAATTTGCCTCTTAATTTCAAGGACATAACATAGGAAGATACAGACCCTTACAGCCTCCCAAATCTAATGACATATTAGAGTTGGTAGTCACACAGACCACAGCTCCTTATTAAGACAGTGAAACACTGAATTATTACTTGTAAAACAGCAGACCCGCAGATGTCCCCCTAGTACAGCAACGGCTAAGCATCTAAATAAGGCCTTCTTGGGAACACAGCCAACACTAGACAGTATTTCCCATGCAGTGATCAACTGCTGCTGGCACTGTGTTCAGACTAGTCTCAAACACCACAGGAACCATGTGACAATAAGCATGATACTATTTAAGAGCTAAAACTAAACCTAAATAGTGTAGTAGACATTTTAAGGACGACTACCCATAGGGTTCTTTGGCTCCTGGGTCCCTACACAGGAAGGTATCTCCTTATAATCAACTCCCCTTAATTGAGCTGGGCCCTCTTGGATTCTGTTTCTGATAACCAAAAAACCTTCACTAAAATGCAAGACACAGGTACATAAAATATAGATATTAATTCAGTCTTGCTCAGGTCCAGAAATAGGTTTTATTTGAAAATCCTTCAATCCTGCATGCCTCTGGCCCATCATCAGTTCGCCCTTTTCTCAGAGAGATTCTTCTCCCTAAGGTACTTGAAAAAGTTTGTAGTGTTTTGCTTCTAATTTCACTCTTCTTTCACTGAGTAATACTCAGCAGGTACACTCTGTGGGCCCCTGATCTTCACTGGTTTTGCCCTCCTACATCACTTGGGTTACACTCCTGGCAAAGCTCCTTTGACTCTCAGAAATAATTCCTTCCCTGTTCTTTGTTTTCTAATGCCTAACTACTGTACGTATTACTTTTAATATGTTACATATAAGAACTGTGTTATTCCATCTCTTTTAGCAGACCCATTACCGCTTGTTTGTACCCATTACCAATTATCTTTAATGGCTTGTTCTAATCCTTATTATATAAACAGTAATCTATTATATAACAGATGAGTAGCTATAACGCAAGCCAGAGAGGACAAGTAATCACATCTGTCAAACAAGGTCGAAATTCACCTGACTCATACAAACATTCCCACAATAAAAACAACCACAACTTAAAAGTCTTCCACAACACCTAGGCACCAAAGCACTGTTCCAGGAAGATGACTCCTCTAAATAATAAACATAACTCATCTATAACACTTTGCCAACATTTCATGGATAATTTTTAATAATGGTATAATGAAAACAAAGCATGGGTAAACTTCAAAGTTCATCTCTACTTCCTTGAAAAATTATTACATAATTTTAATCAACAGCCCAAATCTTCAGTTGGTAACTACTAAATTCCTTCTTTTCTCTAAAATGATAATATATAATAAGAATTGACATAAAAATTAAAAATTATGAATGTGTTCTCAAGCCAAAAAGTCATTAAAGAAAGAGAACTTAAAATGCTTATCTCCTCAACCTTTCTACACACTAAGGTAGGTTATTTTTCCTGTATACATTTAAAGATGCCAATGATTATAATATAAGCCAAATAAAATCAAAAGTAACTTTATCCTAAATTGGTCACAATGCCCCTTTTTTTAATGTCAGCTTATTTCAGTCAAAATACAAAAGTCAACATAAAACTACTGTTTATAATCACTGCCAATGATAAACTACTACTCTACTGACAGAGCCAGAAAATCATGAAATGTGCTAGCACTGAAGAGAGTCTTACAATTCATCGACTCAAACTATCATTTTACAGATTTCACTTCCCTTTTAATTCTGAAAAACAGATTTCAGATCAAATTAGTTCTACCATATAAATGTATATAAATAGCATCCATTATATTCCTAAAATATAAGCACATACTCACATATAACCTCTAGATCTTTATTACTATCTGGAGCAAGGGTCAGTTAAGAGTCTAAAACTTACATTACATTTGACCCTATGGCACTAAAGTCCCAGCTTAAGTGTTTCTCAAAAGAATCCTTTCTGCCTGGCCATCACCCCCACATCCCCTCCTTCCTAAATAGGTAGAACAGGTAAAAGAATAAATAAGTTCAAGGTTTCCCCGACTTAGTCACAAAAAATACAAGAAAAAGATACCTTGGGAATCTTAACACACAAGTAACAGGCAATCTCCATTTCCTTTCCCCTCCTGCTTTTTCTGCCCCTGCTTCCCCATGATCATTCACTCTTGTTTTGCCACACTTTGATTTCTTTAACTGAATTTCCGCCCCCCCTCACTTTTTCTTAGTAGAGCATCTGGCAAGGTAAGATGGAAGAGAGAAATAATTTTTAAAAAAAAGTAAAATGGAAAGTGAGAGATGGAAAAGACCGGTAGAGTGGGTTATGTTCTTAAATTATCTCCATATCATAAAACCTGCTAATCCCTTTCCACAGAATACATGATCCCACCATATAAAGCAGAGAGTATCCAAAAGCATGGCTAAGAATTTAAGAGATTTCTAAGAATAAAGAAAAAATACTACATTTAAGCAAATACAACTTCCTACTCTGTAGTATCTTATTTTAAAACAAATTCTAAGTTTGTTCAAGTTCAAGAAAAATAAATTTCTTACATAAGAGCTGAAAGCTTCTGATGAGGCATTGGTAAATGGAAGAGACAGGAAAAAGCTTTCTCCTTGTTTGCTGTGACAAAGGAACCCTCCTTTCCCTGCCCCATTACAGCCTACACAAATTCCAGGCATGTTACAGGGCACAAGGACACATTATGGGGCCTGAAAGGCAGTACTTATTAGGACTCTAAGCGCTCATCTGCAAAAAGGAACAAAACAGAAATTAAAAACTGGACCAGTTAATTGTACTTGTCAACACATAGACGAAATTCAACAGTAGTCTCCCATCACATTTGAAGGTTATATTAGATGGAACAATCACATAATGTAGGAATATAAGGACAAGCAGTTTTATAAAATGGGGGGAAAGGTGATCCCTACCTCGCATCATACACACACAAAAAAATAAATTCTAGACAGAAAAAAGATCTAAATATGGAAGGCCAATCTTAAAAAAGTTTAGAAAAGAGTACAGAAGAACAAGTTAATGATGCAGAGGAAAGGTTTCTTAAACAAGATAAAGAGTACAATCCACAAATAAAAGACTAATACATTGAACTACATTAAAATTTAAAATTTCTATAGCAAATGCCATTATAAACAAAGTTCTTAAAAAATAAAGTCACATGCCTCTGGAGAGAGGAACTGCATAAAGGAGTGGGAGAGAAACTTCACTGCATGCTCTTTTGTGCTTTCTGGATTTTTGATTCATGTGAACGTATTCACTCATAATAAATAAAAAATAAATTTCAAACTTTAAAAGTAATAATAAAAGATAGCCATAAACTGGAAAAAATAATTTGCCATGCATTTAAAAGGATGAGCATTCAGAATTGATCAGTATGCCTAAAATTTATTTTTAAAATACACTCAATTTTCTGACTGGCTTTATGCTAGGTGATATAAGCCAGTCAGAGAAAGCCAAATACCATATGATCTCATTTATATGCAGAATCTAATGAACAAAATAAACCGACAAACAAAATAAACTGATGAACAAAACGGAAACAGAGGCATGGACCCATGGAAGAGACTGACAGCTGTCAAAAGGTAGGGGCAGGGCAGAAGTGGGCAACGGCAGCCGGGGGGTGGGCTGGGGGATTGGGATACATAATAGGGTCAAATGATAAAAGTAAAGTTAAAAAATAATAATAATTTGGAGAAATTTTGACCATTCCTTTTTGTCTTCCTCTTTTTCGGAGGAAGTCCAATTATGCCACCGGTAATTGAGGGTCTCTTTATTTTTCAGCTTTTTCCCCTCAGTACTTTAGTTTGCATTTCTATTGCTAGGTCTTCAATTTCATTAATCTTTTACTGTCCAGTCTCTAATCTGCTAAGTCCATCCAGTTAATTTTTCCTCTCAGACATTGTGTTTGTCAACTCTAACAATTACATGTTTTCCCAAATCATTAATTTTTCTTGTTATTATGTTGTTTTTATTTAAATGTTTGATCAAATTCTCTAATGAAACCATGTAGACCTAGAGTTTTCTTTGTGAGGTTTTTAATTTTCTCTTTCTCACATTAATTTTGGTAAATTGTGTATTTCTAGGAATTTGTCTATTTCACATAAATTTTCAACTGTTACTGACATAAGCTTATTTATAATATCCTCTTAGGAACTTTGTAACGTGTTTATGTTCCACAGTGATGTCCTCCTTTTTGTTTCTGACGTTGGAAATTTATGATTTCTCTTTTTTTAATGTATGAACGTTATTAAAGGTTTATCAATTTTATTAGCTTTGTCAAAGTTTTGTTCAATCCCTCTATTACATTTGTTGTTTATTTCATTAGCTTTTGCTTTTCTTTTTTACTTCCTTTTATCTACTTTCTTTACTGGATTCAGGATAAAAATGGCACTGCCAATGAGTGGGTAATGGATAACCTTTTTACCAGATGGAAGGAAAAAAATGAAAATTGACACCTATCTCACACTATACACAAAGATCAATTCCAAGTGAATCGTAAATCTAAAGATGAATAGCAAAATGATAAACCTGCTAGAAGGTAATACAAAAGAATATATTCTAAAACTTAAGGTGGGTAAATAATTTTTAAATAATACAAAAAATACTAACTATAAAGAAAAACATTAATACATTTCACTTCATTAAAATAAAAACTTATTTTTTAAAACTTATTTATCTTTCATCGAAAGATACCATTAAAAAAGTGAA